TGCTGTAGATGCTTCACAAATCGAGCTAGGCCCTGCTGTTCCTTCCTTCCTTCCTTCCTTACTAGGCGCGGACACCGAGAGCAGCTCGGAGAGGTCCGGGTAGCAGCGGTCTTCTTGGAGTTGGCGGTCGATGTGGCGCCCCGCGTTCTCCAGCGTCTCCTGCGAGGCCGGGGCGCCCCCAGCCGGGTTGAGGGCGGCCGGCATGGCGGCGGGAAAAGAAAGAGGAGAGAAAGAGAAGGAAGAGGACAAGAGGCGCCTTCACGGGACAGGCATGGAAGCCCCGCGCGCGCCAAGTCCCGGCATGCACCGCAGGCGCGCGCGCGCTGGGTCCAAGCGTCTCTCCTCCCTTCCACAAAGAGGGAGGGAAAAATATAAACACACGCAACTTCCGGTATTCGTTCGACCCTTTCCTAGAAGCATTTCAGCACCTGGTGAGAATGAATGGAATGAATGGTTGGACCTCACTTCGTGAAATGCTATGGCTCAGTGCCATGGAATTAATGGCTGTGGGAATTTAATGAGGCCTCTTTCTGCAGAGAAAACATTATTATCTTATCTTCTATATATAAATAATAATGTAATATTCGTTTGTGGGATTAACATAACTCAAAAACCACTGGATGAATTGACATGAAATTTGGACACAAGACACCTAAAAACCCAATGTATGTCCTTCACTCATAAAAACACTGAAAAACACAGCAGAAGGAACTTAAAAAGCCCTAAAAAGTTAAATGACGAAAAGCTAAGTGACAATACAGAAAAAAGGGAAGAAAGAGAGGGAAGGGGAGAAAGAAAAAGAGAAGAAAGATGGAGGGAGGGAAAGAAAGAAAGAAGGAAAGAAAGGGAGAAGGAAGCATGGAAGCAAAGAGAGGGAAGGAAAGAGGTAGCGAAAGAAGACAGGAGAGAAAGAGGGAGGGAAAGAAAAAGGGTGAAGGAAAGAAAGTTAGAGAAGGAAGGAAGGGGAGAAGGAAAGAAAAAAGGGAAAGAAGGAAGGAAAGAGGGAGCGAAGGAAGGGGGAAGATGTAGAGAAAGAGGGAGGGAGGGAGAAAAGAAAGACAGCAGAAGAGAAAGAAAAAGGGGGAAGGAAGGAAAGAGATAGAGAAAGAAGGAAGGAAGAAGAGAAGGAAAGACGGGAAGGAAGGAGTGAAGGAAGGAAGGAGGGAAGGTTGGCCACAGCAATGCGTGGCGGGTACAGCTAGTCTATATAAATAAAAATGTAATGTTCGTTTGTGGGATTAACAGAACTCAAAAACCACTGGACGAATTGACACCAAATTTGGACACAGTACATCTAACAACCCAATGTATGTCCTTCACTCAAAAAAAATGATTTTGTCATTTGGGAGTTGTAGTTGCTGGGATTTATAGTTCACCTACAATCAAAGAGCATTCTGAACCCACCAACGATGGAATTGAAACAAACTTGGCACACAGAACTCCCATGACCAACAGAAAATACTGGAAGGGTTTGGTGGGCAGTGTCCTTTGGTTTTGGAGTTGTAGTTCACCTACATCCAGAGAGCACTGTGGACTCAAACAATGATAAATCTGGACCAAACTTGGCACGAATACTCAATATGCCCAAATGTGAACACTGGTGGAGTTTGGGGAAAATAATCTTGACATTTGGGAGTTGTAGTTGCTGGGATTTATAGTTCACCTACAATCACAGAGCATTCTGAACCCCACCAACAATAGAATTGGGCCAAACCTCCCACACAGAACCCCCATGACCACCAGAGTGGGCCACAGCAATGCGTGGCAGGGGATGGCTAGTCTATCTATATAAATAAAAATGTAATGTTTTTATTTATAGCCCGAAAAAACACACAAGAACCTAATGTAATGTTCGTTTGTGGGATTAACATAACTCAAAAAACATGGGACGAAATTTGGACAGTACAGCCCTAACAGAACAACGAGCGCCCCCCCCCCCCAATTCTCATGGTGGTCCGCGAGAAGGCCTTACTGGTACATTATTTAAACTGTTATGCTTATTCATATCATGATCTGATCACCATGCTCAATATATCCCATATGCATGGGGGTATTGGGGTAATGATACAAAAGGTTTTCTAGGGTAGACCCTCTTTCACTCAGACTCAGCTCCAGTCTCCCCCCAACTCCCCCCCCCCCCCCCCCCGGAATCAAAATCCTGGCTACGGGCCTGTCTACAGCAGACCCTTTAGGGGAGGAGGATACTCTAAATGCACTGCTTCCAAGCTGCAAACTTGCTTCTCCTTGGATTTCTTTGAGAGCATCCCAATCCCTGTATCGTACCTATTTCCTATTCCTGGACTGCAACTCCCAGCAATCCTCCAGATAGATAAAATAGAGATAGGTAAGTAGATAGATCAATCAAGGAGGACTGCTGGCAGCTGCAGTCCAAGAATAGGTAGAGAAGGAAGAAAGAGAAAGAAAAGGGGAGGAGACGGAAGGAAAGAGGTAGAGAAAGAAGGTAGGAAAGAAAGAAAGAAAGAAAGAAAGAAAGAAGGAGAGAAAGAGGGAGGGAAGGTTAGCCACAGCAACGCCTGGTGGGTACAGCTAGTATATCAATAAAAATGTAATGTTCGTTTGTGAGATTAACTGAACTCAAAAACCACTGGACGAATCGAGACCAAATTTGGCCCATAAGACACCTACTAACGCAAGAAGTGACCATCACTCAAAAAAATTGCTTTTGTCATTTGGGAGTTGCAGTTGCTGGGATTTATAGTTTACTTACAATCAAAGAGCATTCTGAACTCCACCAATAATGGAATTGAATCAAACGTGGTACACAGGACTCCCGTGACCAACAAAATAGCAACAAAATACACTAGAAGGGTTTGGTAGACATTGACCTTGAATTTGGGAGTTGTAGTTCACCTACATCCAGACAGCACTGTGAACTCAAACAATGATGGATCTGGACCAAACATATGCCCAAATATGAACCCAGATGGAGTTTGGGGAAAATAGACCTTGATTTTATTCAGCTGTGTTGAAGGAGTCTTAGATAACCCTTTTCTGCCTTTCCAGAATAGGAATACTCCAATACCAAGTCCCAGAAGCACTTTATTAGAACTAAGATTGCCGCACACTGCACACTGCACTTACCCTATAATCCTTACATATCACCTGTCACATCAGCACTTTTAATTCTGTACCCATTACTCTGGCCCGGCCCAGTTTTATTGTGTCTTGGTGTATTGTTTATTGCTTGTTGTTTAATATTGCTTTAATTGTTTTTAATTTGCTTTAGGTTTTGTATTGTTATGTTGTGTTTTGAGGCCTTGGCCTTTGTAAGCCGCATCGAGTCCTTCGGGAGATGCTTTGTTGTTGTTCATTCGTTCAGTCGTCTCCGACTCTTCGTGACCTCATGGACCAGCCCACGCCAGAGCTCCCTGTCGGCCGTCACCCCCCCCAGCTCCTTCAAGGTCAGTCCAGTCACTTCAAGGATGCCATCCATCCATCTTGCCCTTGGTCGGCCCCTCTTCCTTTTGCCTTCCACTTTCCCCAGCATAATTGTCTTCTCTAGGCTTTCCTGTCTCCTCATGATGTGGCCAAAGTACTTCAACTTTGTCTCTAGTATCTTCCCTCCAGTGAGCAGTCGGGCATTATTTCCTGGAGGATGGACTGGTTGGATCTTCTCGCAGTCCAAGGCACTCTCAGAACTTTCCTCCAACACCACAGCTCAAAAGCATCTATCTTCCTTCGCTCAGCCTTCCCTAAGGTCCAGCTCTCACATCCTTAGGTTACTACAGGGAATACCATGGCTTTGACTAGGCGGATCTTTGTTGCCAGTGTGATGTCTCTACTCTTTACTATTTTATCGAGACTTGACATTGCTCTCCTCCCAAGAAGTAAGCGTCTTCTGATTTCCTGGCCACAGTCTGCATCTGCTAGCGGGGTACAAATAAAGATAATAATAATAATAATAATAATAATAATAATAATAATAACCCAATTCAAAGCTGATATTGGCCCCTTCCAGACAGCTGAATAAAAATCCCACATAATCTTCTTTGAACTGGAGTATATGGCAGTGTGGAGTCGTATAATGCAGTTCGAAGCAGATATTGTGGGATTTTCTGCCTTGATATTCTGGGTTATAGGACTATGTGGAAGGGCCCTTGTTTTGCCTGACTAATATTGAACTTGGCAAGCCTTTGGGTGGTATTCCCTCCTCCGGCCACTAGGGACGCTATAACGGGAGAACGAGCGGAAGTGCTTCTCCCTTATGTTCAACAGTTGCTTCCGCCGGCTCCAGAGTTGCTTACTTCCGGTTGCTTGTCTGTGGGATCTGTGTTGCTGTGGTGAGAGGAAGAGAGGCTTCGGAGGCTTCGGAGGCTTGGCATGGAGCAGCCCGGCGCCGAGAGCGGTGAGTGCTGGGCCTGAACGAAGGGAGGAGCCCTTCTCCGGGAAAGGGGGCCTTGTTTTGGCACGGAATCGCCCTTTAACTCGCTTGGTTTCCTTCCCAGATGGCGACCCCGTGGGAGGACCCGACCCGCAGCTGGCAGCCACGATGGGTTTCTCAGGGTTTGGTGAGTAGAAGAAGCGGGGGGATCCTGCCCTCCATCCACACTTTGCACCAGGCCTGGGGACAACTTGGCCCTCCCTCCAGGTGTTTTGGACTTCAACTCCCACAATTCCTAACAGCCATCGGCTGTTAGGAATTGTGGGAGTTGAAGTCCAAAACACCTGGAGGGCTAAAGCTTACCTATACAAACTAAGGGCCCTTTCACACAGCCATATAACTCAGAACTTAAGGGCGCAAACATCCCACAATATCTGCTTTGAACCGGGTTTTCTGAGTCCACACTGCTACATATTCCAATTCAAACCAGATAATGTTGGATTTTATTCAGCTGTGTGGAAGGAGATACTCACAGAAACACCTCAGCAAGCAAGAGTCCAAAAGTGGCAGGCTATTTTATTTATCGTGTCAGGAGCAGACCAAACAGTTGCATTGCATTTTTTAACACGCAAACAAACAAGCAAACAAAACACAAAGTTTGCAAGCTTGGTAGTTGATTAAATGCCCTTTGACCAGTAGCTGGCCACTTGGAGTGCCTGTGGTGTTACTATAAGAAGATAGACAGTCACGTCTATGCACAGAAAATTCAGGCATTTTTCAGATCTGGACACAAATCTGCTGATTTGTGGAAAGCCCATTGCATTCAGAAGGGCTTAAGAGCCATTGTAAAATGCTAAGAAAAGAAAAGAGACCCCCCCCCCCCAAAAGACCGTAATCAGATGTAGACAACAAAAAGACACTAGGCGTGGTTTACTGGCAGACACTAATATTTCTCATGAATATTTCCCACTCCCTACTGCAACATTAGGAACCCTGTTAATATATTTTCCACCAGAAGTAAAAAAAAATTATGCAGTACAGAAGAGTCTGCAAAAGGCACTTTTATAAAATTCGGTATCAGTCGTCTGTGTTGGCAAGTGATTATCTGATTTGGCCATTACATTGCTGATTTTATTTATTGTATCAGGAGCGAACTAAACAGTTGTATTGTATTTAAAAACAAAAAAAACCCACAAGTTTGCAAACTTGTCATTCTATTAAATGTCCTTTGACCAGTATCTGGCCACTTGGAGTGCCTCTGGTGTTGTCGCAAGAAGGTCCTCCATCATGCATGTGGCAGGGCTCAGGTTGCATTGCAGCAGATGGTCTATGGTTTGCTCTTCTCCACACTCGCATGTCGTGGATTCCACTATGTAGCCCCATTTCTTCCATCTCGTGGTGCCAGAGCGCAGTCTGTTCAACGCCTTCCAAGTCGCCCAGTCCTCTGTGTGCCCAGGGGGGAGTCTCATTTGGTATCAGCCATTGATTGAGGTTCTGGTTTGAGCCTGCCACTTGGACTCTCGCTTGCTGGGGTGTTCCAGCTAGTGTCTCTGTAGATCTTAGAAAACTATTTCTTGATTTAAGTAATTGGCGTGCTGGCTGATATCCAAACAGGGGATGAGCTGGAGATGTCTCTGCCTTGGTCCTTTCACTATTGGCTGCTACTTCCCGGCGGATGACAGGTGGTGCAATACTAGCTAAACAGTGTAATTTCTCCAGTGGTGTAGGGCGCAGACACCCCGTGATAATGTGGCATGTCTCATTAAGAGCCACATCTACTGTTTTAGCGTGGTGACATGTGTTCCACACTGCACATGCATACTCAGCAGCAGAGTAGCATAGTGCAAGGGCAGATATCAGGCTAAAATCCAGAATCTCAATCAATGGCTGATACCAAATGAGAGACTCCCTTCTGGGCACACAGAAGACTGGGCGACTTGGAAGGCGCTGAACAGCCTGCCTTCTGGCACCACAAGATGCAGAACCAACCTTAAGAAATGGGACCACAAAGTGGAGTCCACGACATGTGAGTGTGGAGAAGGGCAAACCATAGGCCACTTACTACAATGCAGTCTGAGTCTTGCCACATGCAAAATGTAGGATCTTCTTACAGCAACACTGGAGACCCTCAAAGAGGCCAGCTAGTATAATGCCAAGTTTTAAAATTTTGTTTGTAGTTTTTTATTCATTATAACAGTATTCTCAGTTAGTTTCTGACACGACAAATAAAGCATTTGGCACATGGTCAAGAAGTGTCAACCTAAGTGTCCCATCTTAACATTTTCATTGTGTTAAGGGCTTGTTCATATTTCTTTGTTACTGGCCAGTACTCTGCCCCGTAGAGGGCTACAGGGTGAACAGCTGTGGTGTAGATCTTAGCTTTGAATTGTTCCTGCATTTTTGAGTTGCACAGAATGCCAGTAAGTTTGCTGGCATTTCAACCAGGCTGCATTTATTTGTGACCGTACGTCTGACATTGTGTTGCTATCTATGGACACCAGAACTCCAAAAAAAATTATTATTCTACATTATTTTCTCTTTGGAGTGCTGTAACAAAAAAACTAATTAGGAAACATTTCCTCCATATTCAGATGGTTGACTTTTAATAATAATAATTTTATATCTTACCAGTCTCTCCTTGTAGCTCAAGGTGGGTTACATAATAACATTAACATTGTAAAAATACCACAAATATATATTAAAATGTATTTCTATAAAATATACATAGTAAAATATATTTGCATAAATATTAAAATACACAAAACAGAGATTAGTGTGAGCATTGGATGGAAAACAGAATGGGTGCTGGATTTATATTTTCCTTTGATCTCAACTGCAAGTTTTGCTCTTACGTTTTCAAAGCTTCAGTTATGCACAATTGCTTGGTAATCAATCCCATTGAACATAGTAGGGGTTATTTCTGAGTAGATTTCTATTTACAGTAATGGATTTGCAAAAGTCCATTACTGTAAACACTTATTTGTAATTGCAAACTATCCTGTCCTGTTTGATTTTCTTACTCTTATCAATATTTTAGAGGGTTGCTAAGAGTTTTCTTCCAATTTCTTTACATGTAATCTTATCTCGAGTTTTCCTTCTCAAAACCTAGGAAAGAAAGCTCGAACATTTGATTTCAACGCAATGTTTGAACAAACTCGAAGAACTGCTGTGGAAAGAAGTAGAAAGATTCTGGGTGAGAAGCACTATTTCATATAAATGTTTTGTTTTTGTTTTGATTTGATTCTCTTCAGTTCCTCAATTTAGGTTTTTGATGTTTGTAGTCTTTACTAAATTTGGGTGAAAGAATTGTTAAACTCTATTTTAACAATCAAATGTAATTATCAAAAGAAGAAACGGAGAAAGGCAAAAATGGTTTTCTGTGTTTGGTGCTTTATAGATGGAAGTATGTTTTTAAAGCTTATTTTAAAACAAGATGTCACCAACGGGCAGGTGACTTCCCTTCTCTCACCCACTGTTTCCTTTTCCCTCATCCCAGTGTGGAATGTTAGACATTGATGTCATTGAACAGCCAAATAACACTTCATTTCTATATTTATTTGGACTACCTTTCTTATTACCAGTGGACTTAAAGGAGCGTAATACAGCTTTTGTTAAATGTAAGTCAGTGTAATGTAAAACAAGCTCTTCATGTTACATTTGGTATTTCGAAGCCAAATGGAAAGGAAAATGATATTGTGGTAAGAGGTTATTTTGAAATGTCTCTAGATGATAATGCCACAAAATCATTCCGTGGCTAACAGCTTTTCAGGCAAGTAGCTGCCAAAGAGGCAACCCATTTACAATATGCTGCAAAACGAACAGTGAGCTACATAAGATGACTGACGTTCAGCAGATCTTGCTCCTTGCTATAACTGATAGAGATTAGTTCCTAAGTAGGATAATCAATTATTTATGTCATATACTGTTTGGAAGTTATTAGATATTAGCTTATGGACACTGTAATTCTTTTCCTCCTCCATCAACAGCATTCAGTAGTTACTTTTGGCAGAACGAAAGCCAGTGGATACAGCTCTGGGCAGCCTCTTTGCCCACAGGATTAATGAGCTGTCACAGCCCGGGCCTGGGATCCACTCCTGCATTAGCAGCTGTTAGCCATAGCTAAGGCACCATAGCCTGTGAATGTCAGTATTAAATACTTTTATAGAATGTTTTTATTTGTTATTGTGCCATTTTGAAACATAAATAAAACCTTTAAAGCAAGTAACAGGTTACTATCCCTTTTCATACTGTATTTTCTTCTCTGCTTTTTTCAGAAGAACGTGAGAAAGCAGCAGCTGAGAAAGAAAAAGAACTGGATAATCAGCCTGGGGTTGGTAATTTATCAGCTGCAGCCCCATGCCCAGTAGGAAGAACATCTTCCAGGTATAAATAGAAATATTAATCTCTGAGTCTATGTATATATGTCTTGTGGGAGGATGAGTGGTACTCTGGTGCCACTCTTTAAGCAAGGTGATCCAGGTTGTCTGTAACTGGTGTGATGAGGGAGGAAGCCGCACAAGGATAAACAAGACCAGAAGCTCTTAAAGTAAAGGAGAGTTGATGGAGTGAGGGAGAACGCAGAGAGATAGGATAGTTGGTTTAATGAAGAACAGTTGGGAATCTTAAAGGAATGCATTGCTGGAAAAAACTCTTGCTTCAGGAAGATGCTGAGAATAGTAGGGAGGGAGCTGTGAGATGGGAGGAACTGTTGAAGCAGAGAAGCTTGACAAAGGAGGAAAAGTTTCACTGAAATTACCTGTCTGTGAGAAAGAAAGAAAAAAAGGAAATATTCTATAAGTAGATGGTTGCCTGTCCGAAATTGTTTCTTTATTAGCATCCATAGAGATGTTAAATACAAGCAGTCCCCAAGTTCAAAACCAGAGAGGTTCTGTAGGTTTGTTTTTAAGTTGAGTTTGTTTGTAAATCAGAACAGGTGCACTTTAAATATAACTTCATCCATATATATTCCCTTGTGGTGTTTGTTTTACTGTCTATGCCCCTGTTCGGAAGATTTTACATCACTTTCTGCCCCTGTGAGAATTGGATTTTGAAAAATTTGGCTTTTTGTGGAAACAAGGATTGGTGATAAAGTTTCAGTAGAGACATCTTTTCTCCATTATAATTATTTCAGATGTGAATTTTTCCTCTTGGGAGTAGATTTCTCTCTTCCTGTTGTCTCACCCCACTCACATTAAGGCCACCTTTGTCTGCACGATTCCCAAAGCTTGTTGCTCTCACTGTAGTTTCCTTTGTAATAAAATTGCTGACTGAAAAACAAAGGCTTGGGCATTGGAGTTGGCACAGTCTCTTGTTTCCCAACACACTGTCCTCCCTACTGATTCACTACCACCGTTGCTAGTGCTGGCAATGCAGAAGTACTGTTCCTCTTGAGACAGAAGGAGACCCATCACACATCCTATAACACCCAAGCAAATTCTGCTTCCTCACAAATTCTGCTGAACTTTCTCATCATTTTGCATTTGATTCCATTTAATTGCTTTTTACCCTTGTGCTGATCCTACCAAGTGTTCTCCATTCCCCAGTTGGTGGCATCACAGAAGGTAAATATGCTGCAGAAATCAGCAATAGCTCTCTGCAGAAGTGGGTGCACTGAGTAATCTGCATGCTGCCTCACTTGTCATGTTTTCACTTAGAGATTCATCGAGCAGTGAAAGCGAGGACAGTTCAGATGAAGAACTGATTGGTCCACCTCCTCCAGCCCAAGGCGCATTGGAAGATTCAGATGATGAACTCATTGGCCCACCACTTCCTCCTGGCTATAAGGACAGTGATGATGAAGATGAGGAGGATGACAATGATAATATCCAGGAAGAAGATGAGGTCAGTTTTGAATCTCTTAATTGGCACATGCCAGGGTTCCTCCAGCAATCAAGTACACAACCCATTTGCTCATGTTTCCTGCAAGTCTGTAAGATTTAGCAATAGGTAAAGTAGTAAATTCAGGAATTAATGGGTTCAAAACTAGCATTGTGAGGCTGGGAAAATGCTCTTTATTACATAATTGGGTTGATGGAGAAAAAGCATCAAATGAAAGACAGGTCATTTGTATTGACCAGGATTTTGTGAACTCTAACTGTCCTGAGTCCCTTTGGGGAGATAAGGCGGTATATAAATGAAATTTTGTTATTATTATTTGATACACAACAAGATTAGTTCACAGCAAACAAGATCACTCTGCTGGCTTTTGTGATCACACGTCGAACACTTCCCAAGTGTCTAGGACTGTGTGATGTATTGGCGAATAATGCGTGCAGACTCGAGTAGGGTGGCCTTTTGCAGCTGACAGATGATAATTTTGTCAGCTCCTATTGTTTTTAAGTGCAGGCCAAGGTCTTAATGCACTGCATCCAGTGTGCTGATCACCACTAATATGTATTGTGGCTTATGAAGGAATTAGATGATAGAAAACTAGAGCAGTCAGAGTCAAGGGTTCAGCATACAGATTCCAACCGTGTTATTGTAATGTCAGGACGGTGCCCTTTTGCTGGATTGTTGTTAGATTGTTTACAGGCAGAATAAACGAGTTGGGTTTTTTTCTGCCAGTTTTATTTTTTAGAGTGAAACTGTTTCAAATAAGCAGGATTTCAAATATTCTTTAAGATATGTCTGCAGTAATATGCATTTTCAATTACAACTATATAGATATATAGGCACGGGCTTTATAAAATAAAATATTGCAAATACAAAAAGAGAGCAAGTGACCATAGCATTATATATTTTCTTTCAGAAATCATGCCAAATTACTTTTGCTACATGAATTCAAAAGCTGTAAAGTTCAACCTCCCATTTTATGAAGTTGTTATTTGATTTCACTTGGTAATGTCTAGCATTTTAAAACGTTAATGCAGTCTGCTAGCTCTTATAAACTTGAAATCTGCTCACCTCACTCTCATTCATTACACCAAAGTCTGCTGAGAAGTTGGCTTTTGAAAGAGCAGCTTCCACCATTGTAATTGGTGTGGAGAGTCCCCTGCTATTGCCTATGAAACTAGAACGTAGTGATCTTGTTATAATTTCAAAAGATAGAAAAGTCACCGTTTGTACCCCACTGAATTATAATCTGAATGTCTGGTTTTTAGACTTTATTATTAGTTTGACTGATACCAAGTATCTATAATTTAAACAAAAATACTGCAATCTAGATGTTTATGAAATCTCTGTCCTTGTTTAGAGGAGTGTTTTATTCTTTCCCAGTCCTGAGTAAAAGCCAGTAAAAGCAATTTCTTGCAGAGCAAGAATAAATGGCTTGTTGTTCAAAATTCTCCAATTCTGATTGACCCATTTATAGCTGCAATTGTTACATACGTATGAGTGTTGTCAAAATTAAGTGAAGAGGGACTTCTGTATTGATTTTCAATTAGTCATGCTTTTTGATCCTCCGAAGGATGTTGTGAGCAAACATAAGCAAATCAATTCTTCTTATCTATTGTTTAGGAGAAAACATATTAAGTTAATGTAAGTTAGACTGCAAATACTTTTAGATTGTGCAGCTCTAAGAGACTGCCTGGTGTTTTCAGTAGGCCTGTTTACAATATGCATTTATTTTCTGACCTTAAAGATCGGTGATAATTTTTGTTATGATTTTGAGGATGGAGGTGGGGTGATTGGGATACATTGCAAGGCAAGGAATGACAGACTTACAGCTTAGGATCCATCTTGGTTTTTTTTAAACTGGAATCTGAACAGATTTTGGTTTATGCACTGTAAGGCCAAGCTAGGTAAATTATTTTCCAGAATAGATTGTAGTATAGGCATGATATTTCTGAGTGGTCTCAGTTGGGACCATTAGAGTCACTAATGAGGGTTCTGTTGTTTCCAGTATTTCGTCTGTTCTGTAATTGATTAGTTCTAGGTGAAAATATTTCTTTGTCTATTTGCTTTTAAACTTCATTGATAGGTGTTTTACCCTGAAGGATGTTTACAGTAATTTCATGAGTTTGGCATTTCTTCCTTGGCCTGAGTAGATGCCATCGTACCAGTATCTACTTACCTTGGCTTTAGGCAATATCTTTTATCTCATCTTTGTCCCTCAAGAGCTGTAATTAAAACTGGCCACTTTGCCATACCCACAAGTTTTGCATTTCTGCTAATATCTAAATATAAAACTGTTCACTCATAGGTCTGCCTATAGACACTTCACACTATTCATTTATGTAGTAGACTTTAGTCTATACAAACGTATCCCTTTGCATACCGAGGATAATATTATAAAGGTTGATAGCATCTTTCTCATTTCCATGTGGAATGGCAATGTCTTTTTGATATTTTTTGAATTTTAGTTCTGAAATTCCCATGTAGCAGGATTGATTTTTGTATCAATTTGTTTGGTCCCTGAATGTAATAAAGCCATGTGTATGTTAGAGATACTATACTGAATATAAATTCTCTGAGTCTGCTTTCAAGTATTATTATGTATAGAATAATAAATCTTGTTAAGTAGGAATGTTCTCTGAGCTTGTGTTTTCTTAAGGGAAATCAGATAAGAGGCTGAAATTACATAATTGGGTAGAATTTCATGAGCTATGGAGGAACAAGTCTATTAGCCAATAAATATAGATTTTTATCTTTCAATATCTTTGGCAATATTTTGAATGCTTGTTTTCTAGGCATTAGACGAAATTAAAAGAAAATACTTGATTAAACTAATTTAAGTAGGATTAGATGGAGTTGTTTACTGGAATAGGAGTCTGCTAATTTAAGAAGTACAAGTAGAGGAGAAAATAATAAGATATAAAAATAGGGACTAAACAAGAAGTCTAGTTTTAACAAATCATACCTTCTTTTCTTAACTTATTCTAAACAATCAGAGAACACTTCAAATGCATTGGGAGGAACACTTGAGAGCTTTTCTTAGAACAGCCTGTAATACAATGATTTGACTGAATATAGCAAACAAATGACTATGAATTTACTGTCATTTTTAGAAGTTCATATTTGTGTTTTAAATTACATTTGAAACAATTTTGAAAATTGATCTCTAAATTCTTTAGCCTTTTTCAATATGTTCTATTTTAATGTTCAATCAGACCTTTTTCTATGATTTTCAGGAATATATTATTATAGCAACCCAATCTCTCCATGCAACAAAATGGGTTCCAGAGCTGGTTGTATATGTGATATTGTAGGGAGTGTTAGCATTGGAAGAGGGATATGGGTGCATATAGGCAATATATGGCCCAATAAGTTTGTTGTTGTGTACCTTCAAATTGTTACCAACTTATGGCAACCCTAAGGTTGAACCTATCATGAGGTTTTGTTAAGAAGTGGTTTGCCATTTCATTCCTTTGAGACTGTGAGATTATAACTTCTCTCAGGTCACCAAGTGGCTTTTCATGACCAACCATGGATTTGAACTGTGTCCTCCAGAGTTATAGTGCAATGCTCAAACTATACAGAGAAGCCACTGAAATCCACAAGCATATGGATAATTTCAACAGAAAGGAATAATCCCTGAAAATGAACAAAATCTGACTACCAGTACAGAGAAACACCAGAATCAAGACAGTAACTGATAAACACCACTCAGACCCAGGAAGCCCCCAGACAGCAAGCAATCAAGTGCCAGTGAACACCACCCAGACAAAGGATGCCTCTAGGCAATAAACACCCAAAGGAACTAAGGCCTGGCTATTTCCAGGCAGATGCCCTCACTATTGACTATGCAGTCTTCTCACTTGCAAATCAGGTTAGCTAATTTGCACCCATCACACGTGGTTAATAGACATTGGTTCTTTCTCTTTGGACATTCAACAGGTATATATACTCTACTTGCTTTACCACCATCAGATCCTCTGAAGATGCCAGCCACAGATGCAGGCAAAATATCAGGAGAAAAGGGTGCTAGAACATGGCCATACAGCCCAGGAACCACACATCATTCCAATCCTATCATATTGAGCCAACATTGAGCCAACAATGTGATGCAGCAGCAAATAAAGCCAATGGGATTTTGGCCTGCATCAATAGGGGTATAATGTCTAGATTCAGGGAAGTCATGCTACCCCTCTATTCTGCCTGGGTTAGATCGCATCTGGAATACTGTGTCCAATGCTGGACACCACAATTGAAGGGAGACGTTGACAAGCTGGAATGTGTCCAGAGGAAGGCGACTAAAATGATCAAGGGTCTGGAGAACAAGGCCTATGAGGAGTCACTTAAAGAGCTGGGCATGTTTAGCCTGAAGAAGAGAAGGCTGAGAGGAGACATGATAGCCATGTGTAAATATGTGAGAAGAAGTCATAGGAATGAGGGAGAAAGCTTGTTTTCTGCTGCCCTGGAGATTAGGACGCAGAACAATGGCTTCAAACTACAAGAAAGGTGATTCCATCTGAACTTGAGGAAGAACTTGTGAGAGATGTTCTGCAGTGGAACTCTCTGCCCCAGAGTGTGGTGGAGGCTCCTTCTTTGGAGGCTTTGAAACAGAGGTTGGATGGCCATCTGTTGGGGGTGCTTTGAATGCGATTTTCCCTGCAGGGGTTGGACTGGATGGCCCACGAGGTCTCTTCCAACTATGATTCTGTGATTTCTCGTCTTCGTCTCTCATTGGAAGAAACATATTTTATATATTTATTCTCTTTGAAAAGATGTTCTCAAAGATGAAAAACATTTCAATGAAACACAAACATCAGCTTGCTTGGATTTTATGAAAAGGAGATGGTTTTCAAACGTGTAACATTTGGTGTGAAGTAGTTAAATAACCTGGAAAAGGTATGGTTACATGGAAAATGCCAAGCTGTATATCTGGAGATTGAGGAGAATGGGCCACAATTCTGTAGAATCTCGGCTAATTGTTCACGAATCTGCTGCCAGGTTGTCCATGG